CAGGCAAGGTGGTCACACAGGCCTATAATCCCAGCAGCTCCAGAGGCAGGAGGATCACAAGTTCAAAGCCAGTCTCAGCAACTTAGTGAGGCCTAAGGAACTTAATGAGAGACCCTGTCTCAAAATAAAAAATAAAAAGGACTGGGGATGTGGCTCAGTGGTGAAGTGCCCTTGAGTTCAATTCTATCCCTGGCCAGAAAAAAAAAAAAAAAAACTCAAATCAATGTACATTTCCTAAAGGACTGCTATGTTTCAGGTTTTGTATATTCATTTCTTTACCCATCTAGTCATTCACCAATGAATATTGATTGAATACCAAGCATTAAAGAGTGAGCAAAACAGACAAATCCCTGTTCTCTTGGGACCCCTGCTCAGGAGGGAGGCAGAAAACAAATACACTGAGATGTGATATGCTAGGAAGTTTTGGAAAACATCTAAGCAGGACATCATTTTATTTTACATGGAGTGACAGGAAAGCCCTCTCTGAAGAACAGAAGTGAGAATGAAGTGGCAGAGATGTGAGGTGAGGGAGTGAGCCACTTGTTATCTGAGGGAGTCTGTTACAGGTAGAAAGAAAAGCAAGTGCAGAGGCCCTGGGGCAGGGAAATGGAACAACAAGTCCAGAGAGAGCCCTCAGGAGGGAGAGTAGAAGCAACAGAGACTAGAGAGGGGCGGGGCAGGCCTTGTAGGACCCTCACACCTCTGATTTAATTTAGTAAAATGTAAAGCCACTGACAGATTTTGAGCAGAGAAGTGACATGATCTGAATTACTTTTTTTTTTTTAATGGGGGGAGGGAGACCACAGGGAAGGGGCAAAGTGGACACAAGAAGACCAACAAGGAGGCCACTGCCAAAAACTCAGACAAGCAATGTTGGAGGCATGCACAACAGGGGCGGCTGTGGCCAGTAACAGCAGGTCCAGCCTCAACCCACCTCTCTCACCTTTGCTTTCACTGGTGCCCCCATTCCTAACACCTGGAAGAACTGAGCTGCCTGTGGACCTCTAAGAGCACTCGGCTCTTTGAAAATCCTGGGCCTCTGCCCAGCAACACACTCTGCCAAGAATAGCCTTCCCCAAGGCTGAGGTGAGTGGCACCCCCAACATGTCTTTCTTGTCGCCCTCCTCCTCCCCTATTTGACTGTACTGTCTCTTCTCTACCAAGCACCCACAAATGGCTTCCTTCTACCCATCTCAACAATAAAGGTAAATATACATCGGGATCAGTGCACCTGAATCCATAGCCCTTTGCATTTTCAGGGATCTGGGCCATAGTGCAATTTTCTGCTAAACCTAAGCTATCCAATATGGTGATCATGAGCCACACATGGCTATCTAGACTTAGAACACACAGCTAGTCTGAACTGGGATGACTGTTAGGTTTAAATACATGCCCAATTTCAAACATTTAGTATGAAAAAATACTCACTAGTAATTTTTATATTGATTAGATATTGAAATGATAACTATGCTAAACAAATTATATTACTAAAATTAATTTCACCTAACTTGAAAAAGAACAAAGTTGACAAATTCACTTTATGATTTCAAAACTTACTGCAAAACTATGGTAATCAAAATGATATGGTACTGACATAAGAATAAACATTTGGACCAATAGATTAAGAGAGTTCAGAAATAAACATTCATATGGTCAACTGATTGATTTTCTTCCTTCCTTCCTTTCCTTTCTCCCTCCCTATTCTTTTTTCCTTGCAATACTGGGGATAGAATCCAGGGGCACTCTATCACTGAGCTACGTTTCCTGAATTTCATTTTTTATTTACAATTTATTAGTTCATTTTAGGTATACATAATATTAGGGATTATTTCAACATAATTATACAAGCAAGGACTATAATTTGCTCCAATTCAGTTCCCACTACTTCTCAAACTCTTCCTCCTCTCCTCCCTCCCCTGTTCCCTTTTTTCTACCCTATTGTTATTGCTTCTATTTATTTATAATTATTTTTAATTAGTTCCTTATGGATATACATAAAGGTGATATTCACTATGGTATATTCACATATTTTTGATTTAGAGACAGTGTCTAGACAAGTTGCCCTGCTGACCTCAAACTTACAATCCTCCTGCCTGTAATCGCAATTACAAGTTCAACTGATTTTCAAAGAAGGGAGGAAAGATCCTTTCCTTTGAGTAAGGAAAGAACAATCTTTTCAACAAATGGTGCTAGGAAACTGGACACCCAAGTGCAAAATAATGAAGTTGGACTCTTAACCTTGAACCATATAGAAAAACTAACTCTACCTGAATCTTTATCTAAATTTAAGAGCTAAAACTCAAACTACTGGAAGAAAACAGGGAAATTTCCATGACACTGAATGGCAATGATTTCTCAGATGTGACATCAAAAGCATAACAAAAGAAAAAAATAAGCCAGGCACAGTGACGCACACCTACCATACCAGCAACTTGGGAGGCTGAAGCAGCAGGACGCAAGTTTGAGGCCAGTCTCAGCAACTTATTATTTCAAAACAAAAAATAAAAAGGGCTAGGATGTAGCTCAGTGGTAGAGTGTCCCTAGGTTCAATCCCCAGTACTAAAAGAAAAGAAAAAAAGAAAAAAGAAAAAACATGAACTTCACATTAAAATTGAAAACAGTGTATGAGAGGCCATCACCCAAGAGAATGAAAAGACAACCTGTGAAATGGGAGATATATCTGTAAGTCCTATATCTCATAAGGGTCTAGTATTCAGAACATATAAACAACTTTCACTAGGCAACACTACCACCAGCAGCACAATCCAATTTAAAAATGGGCCAATTTCTCGGAAATGGACAATTTCTGGGAAAAAAAGATATACAAAAACCAACAGGCACATGCAAAGATGCTCAACATTACTGGTTGTCATAGAAATGCAGATCAAAACCATAAGACATTACTGTTCACCCATTAACATGGTTACTATTAAGAAATAGGTGGAGGAGATAACAAGGTTTGACAATGTGGAGAAACTGAAATCCCTATGCATTGCTTGATGGGAATGTAAAATGATGCAGCTGCTGAGGAAAATAGCTCGGTTTCTTCCAAAAGTTAAACACAGAATTATCATATAATCCAGCAATTCCACTCCTAGGTATACGCCCAAATGAACTAAAAGCAAAGATTTAGATACCAATATTCATAGCACCATCAGTCACAAGAGCCAAAAAGAGAAAACCAAAATTTCAACAGATAAACAAAATGTGATATACACATATAATGGAATACTATTCAGACATAACAAGGAACAAAACCTGGACACATGCTACAACATAGATAAACCTTGAAAACATGTGGTAGAGTACTCCCAACCCCAGCAGTTTTTCTTTTAATTGGTATGGAATTGTTTAAGGGGATGAAAGACTTCTGGAACTAGACAGTGGCAACGGCTATACAACATCACCAATACCACTGAATTTTTTCTTTAAAATATTTTTAGTTGTAGATAGACACAATACCTTTGTTAATTTGTTTTTATGTGGTGCTGAGGTTCGAAACCAGTGCCTCACACGTGTGAGGCAACCACTCTACCACTGAGCTACAACCCAAGACCTACCACTGAATTTTATACTTAAAATGGCTGAAATGATAAATTTTGTTATGTATATTTTACCTGTTTCATTGATTTATTTTTAGTACCAGGAATTTAACCCAGGGGCACTGAACTACATCTCTAGACCTTTTTATTTTTTGAGACAGGGTCTTGTTAAGTCACTAAGGCTGGCCTTGAACTTGCAATCCTGCTGCCTCTGCCTCTTCAGCAGCTGGGATTACAGGTGTGTGCCACTATACCTGGCCTTCTACTACATTTCCATGGACATTTCCATGGGACAGCCTCGGGCACAAGAGACTGTCTGAAAGACCTTCATTCACCTTGGCTCTCTGCTGCTCTGCTTTGCAATGTTTTCCCAGCATGAAGTGTGGCTGCAGGATAATAGGGTGACCTACTAAGTAAAGTGAGTGGGATCTACACAATTGTGCGTTGTTTCCCTTTCAACCCAGTCACTTCAAAGGTTGTGTGTGGGCCAGCAGGGTAGCCATTTTTCACCTCAGTTCTGCCTACTTTGAGAATGGCCCTCAGAGCCCGAGACTCATTTAGTTTTTTCCCCAGAATCCTCAGAGTTGGCAGATCTTCATCCTCCCAGGAAGGATCTGACTTCTGGAAAGAGGCCAACATCACTGAGTTCCAAATGTGGTGAATCAGGTGGGGCATCACGCTCAGGAATACCATTTTTGGTCAAATACAAGGTATCA